ACTCCATCATCGTGAACGCTAAAGTAGTTTTCCTGCATCCGCTCCAAAACTACAGCATCATCCAGTACGACCCAAGCCTGGTGCAGGCGCCGGTTCAGAGTGCCAAACTCGCCACCGACTACATCAAGCAGGGACAGGACACGATCTTTGTGGGATTCAACCAGAACTTCCGGATCGTCGTGGCCAAGACCGCCGTAACCGACATCACCACTGTTTCTATTCCAGCCAACGCGTCCGCACCGCGCTACCGCGCGATCAACCTGGACGCCATCACTGTGGACACCGGACTCAGCGGGCAGTGTTCTAACGGTGTCCTGATTGGCGAGGACGGAGTGGTGCAGGCATTGTGGTTGAACTATCTTGGAGAACGCACATCTAATTCGCATAAGGATGTGGAATACCATCTAGGATTTGCGACTCCATCTCTTCTTCCTGTCCTGTCGAAGGTGCAGCAGGGAGAGATGCCTGAGTTGCGGATTCTGAACATGGAGAGCTACGTGGTCCAGATGAGTCAAGCTCGTATCATGGGCGTGTCGGAGGAATGGATCGAGAAGGTGACGCAAGCTAACCCATCGCGGCATCAGCTCTTCATGGTGCGCAAGGTCGATTGCCCACCGCCTGGGTTCAACTCGGCGGCCGACACGTTCGAGGAGGGTGATATCATCCTGACCTTAGACGGACAGCTGATCACCCGCGTCTCGGAGTTGGATATCATGTACGAGAAGGATACGCTGGAAGCCCTGATTGTTCGAAATGGACAAGAAATGCGGATCCAGGTGCCGACTGTGCCAACAGAGGACCTAGAGACTGACCGTGCGGTCGTGTTTTGTGGTGCTGTGTTGCAGAAACCACACCATGCGGTCCGTCAGCAGATTTCTAAGCTACACAGCGAAGTCTACGTCAGCGCAAGAGTATGCTCCTCGCCCCTTAACCACTGCCATCAAGTAACTAACCACCTATCCCTTCAACAGAGTCGCGGATCCCCCTCCTACCAATACGGCTTGGCCCCAACCAACTTCATCACCGCCGTAAACGGCGTTCCAACCCCGAACCTGGACCGCTTCTCCGAAGAAGTGAGCAAAATCCCCGACAACACATATTTCCGCCTACGGGCGGTGACATTCGACAATGTGCCGTGGGTAGTGACCATGAAGAAGAACGATCATTACGTATGTTCCCATCCCGTATACTCTATACTTCTTGCAAACGTGCAAAACTAACACAATAATCTCCAGTTCCCCATGTCCGAGTATATCAAAGACCAGTCCCAGCCTTCCGGCTGGCGGACCGTGTCTCACGACAAGGATAAATATAAAGACGGCATTGCACCGGATGCTGCAAACTTGAACCCGGATGCTATGGACGAAGGGTTTGATGGAGTCAGTGATATTGAGCCGGATCTGGAGTGATTGAAGGCGGACTGTATAGTATACTGTGATGAGCATGGCTGTGTTAGATGTGTATAGCAGACATGGCTTGGAATAGTAGAAAAAGTGAAAAATGGGAAACTGATAGAGATTAAATCGCTCTGCGTATACGAAGTTGTAGATGGATGTATTGTTTCGGATGTTTACTTAGTATGTAGTGGCTACTCTATTGAGGTGTGATGATAGCATTAGTCTTTGATCTGTTTTCGTCCCATCTGCACATGTACTCCGTGTATGAAGAGGATATTGCTCGACAACCCGAGTCTGAAAGTGTGAATGAACGAATCGACAACACACATGAAGATAATCTTACCCAAGCAAAAGAGGGCCCCCCTCATCCGACTTTTTTTTTTTTTTTTTTTTTTTTTTTTTTTTTTTTTTTTTTTTTTTTTTTTTTTTTTTTTTTTTTTTTGGTTCAAATTGGATTGATGACGACATAGATGGATGCATTCACCACAAGAGGCATTTTGCTGGCGACGAAGAGGCTAACAACCAACTGCCATATAACCAACATACATGACATTCACGCACTCTCACAGATACCAAAACGCAGTATCCAAAGAACACCGGCTGTGTCTGAGGAGACTGAAGATTGCAGTAATTTTGTGCTCGAAGAATGATAATAATGTTGAGGCAGTGGGAGAGTTGTATAGAGCGAAGATACGCCATCACCGAGTGAGGGATACGCTGTGCTGTGGCGAGATATAGGGTATCAGCATCACCATCGTGCGATTGGAGAGAGTTATGTTGGAAGTCGATCTCCTGGAGGGAGAAGGGGCGTAGACATCTAGGCAGTAGACGAGGAAGTTGGCCAGATGCCGAGAGAAGTTCTCTTGGTCGGTGGCGTCGTTATATATGATTTTATAATCCAAGTGGCGGAGGTGGAGAGGAAATCGATGCATTGTTGAATGGTGTTGGGGTAAGTTAGTATGTTGTCACGGGGAGGACAACATTCGATAATTAGAGTGCGTATATACCGACTGATGCTGCCTTGATGATGTCCAGGTCGAAGTGGGGGTTGTTGTTATTGCTGTGCTTGATGAACAAACCAACCAATATAAGCCAACACTTCCTCAAGGCCATGAGATCCTCATACCGTGACGTGGTGATCTTAGGACTGGGGACCACTTCCCTAATCTTTCTTACTGTCTCTCATATTCGCACATGTCCACCTCCAGAATTATTGAACCATCCAACTCTCCCAGCTCATCAAAACATCCGTCCATGTAACAACAGTCAAGGAAAATACCCGAAAAGGCGACAAGATAATGTAAGACAGGAGAGATGGTCACCATATGAAACACCGAGATAACTTCAACTAGGAATGGAAACACAGAAATACTATATATCACAACCAACATCCAAGGCGTCAATCAACACCACTTTAGCAATCAACTTGCTTTCCAAATGGATCGACAGCCCATGGAATTTATTCATCGCCAATGGCTAGCCTATTCCTCTCGGTAGCCGCAATACAATTCTCCAGTGCCTGCTGATCCTCTATTCTAGTCGAGTAGAGTGCTGAATCGCACGACCCGCTGCCAGGCCGGAAATCCTTGCCCGAACCGTTAGAGTCATACCCACAATAGATGATTTCCAGAATCGTAAGACCTTCTAACTCACTGAGAGCTTGGAACACCTCGTCCCAGAGCCCTCTATCCAAGTTAACAAGCCTCAAGGAGACATAGCGCAGTGACTTCCTGAAATGGCGAAGACCAGCAAGCCGGGACGCCGAAATGGTAGACATGTAGAGTCTAAAAGAGCGTAACGGGGCATCAGGATGGACCAATGATGGACAGAGAGGTGCCAGGGGCAGTTCCTTCTTAGGTAATATAGAATCGGTCTGACCATCTATCTCCACGGAAATGAGGCATTCACCATGCCCGAGCAAATGGAAGACATTGGAATGTTCTGGTCCGAGCCAGTGCTTGTCTGAGAAGAAATTACTTCTGAAGTGGCGGAGGCGGGCCATGACAGAAGGGGGGAAGTCAACGCTCGGTGTCCGCGAAGAATGTACATTATAGTGCCTGGCGTAAATGTCATCGAGGCGAGGGGGCATGTAGTCCTTTAGTCCCTCGAGAAGGGCTCTGGCTAGGTATCGGCTTTCACATTCCGCAAGTATGTCGAAGGCGATAGTCAGGCTCAGATACTCAAGGCGACGGAGACGGATGAATAGGGGAAAGTAGATGCGCATAAGGTCCTTTCCGTATGATTCGATTGTGTCTCTGATACCCTCGAGGTGTTCCCAGGAACCGCGGCAGCCGATTACAAGTTTGCGCACGTTGTGGGCGACATTGTTGTTCTTTGTCCGAAATATTTTAAAGTCGGTGAAAGGTAAAGCTTTTTCCATCTTCTCTCTCCTCCCTCTCTTTCTCTTTCGCCCATTGCCCTTCGGGACTATGAGTCTGCTGTCATTGATGTAGACAGTGCAGGTGGCGAAAAGCTCGCGGGAGGCAACCGCGCAGAACAAGCGGTCAACTTTTCGGAGCTCTCCAAGGTGCTCTTTGTAGTAAATGAACTCCGAACAGGCTGTGGCAGCATATTCAATGATCTATCTCTATTAGCTTCCTGTAATGATGGAGGAGGTTTTGGCACCGCGGTCTTACCATTTCTCGGATTTCGTATGGGAGGTAGACGAAACGGTGCAGAGGTTGGGCGGCCATTTTGGTATTATAAAATAGGAAGTAATATGATGGATAGTTGATATGGAGTAGACAGTAGGTCTCTCGGGTGGAGTATAAGATTTGTAGACTCGCGGTTCAGGTCGAGGATTCGTTGACTCAGGGACGAGATGAGACGAGTTGCTTTCGGTATATACTAAGTGTATATAGTTTCTTTAACCGAGTAGTAAAGTTACTAGGCATTAAGGTTTCAACACCGGAAATTCCAACGTTGTGGACAGTCGATTTCAGCGAACAATGTCCAAGGAATTGTTAGTGTGAAGGACAAAGCCCAAGAGTGATGAGTACGGGTGTTGTAAAAACCCCCAAATCGTTCAGATCATGAAGAGGTAGTTACATGAGCCATCTATAATTTGTAGTGACTCACAGTCCTTTACTCTGGGGTTGACGAGATGATGATGCTGGACTATGTTTGGTCCCGGTTTGTACCTCACGATGCCGAGAGTGGATTCGGGATCACACAGCGCATAGCAAATTATGTCTAGCATGTGAAGGTATGTTCCGGCATAAATATCCTTTCTAACGTATGGTATAATGCCATGTGTGGAAGAGAGAGGACAGAATCGGTTTCAACCAGACCGGGTAATGTGGTTGAAATGAGTATAGGCACAGTGTTGGATCCTAAGATTGTTAGTGGGATATAGAGAAGATATCAACTGATGACGCAGTACTTGACATAGCAAGGGTCATCCCGAGGACTGCCCAAGGGGATTGCAAGGTTCCGTTGAGAAGAGCTTATAAGGGAAGCTCCAGACAAATGTTACTGCTAGGACGGTATCTCAACTGGAGTAAAGAAAGAAGTCGTGTTAGTACTATAAAGCTAGGCAGTAAACAAAGAATGGCCACTTTAGCTGCAAAGGTGGTAGTTGGATAAAAGATATTAATGATAATTATGAATTCTTAACATCTATTGATATATTTATGGATAATATTTATATAATACGCCCATTGTAGAAAAGTTCGTTCAAAGTCTAGGCGTCATCATAAGACGTTATATACAAAGGCTATCAGCCGCAAAACCTCAATGGGTATATAGTAGAAGAGCCGGTCCAGGCAGCATATATGCTCAACTTTGGGCTCGACTTGAGAATGTCGCGGGAGTGACCGCAACACAGGTGAATAGACATGCTGTCCATTCAAGTGGCCTCTGGCGCCACGCAGCGGCTTTCAACATCTGCAATAGACTCAGACAACCGGCTGGTCTCAAGCCTCCTTGCGCGCCTTCATCTCAGCAATAAATTTGGCGCTCTTGCTGGTTGGCACGATGTAAATCTTCACCAACTCATCCACAACCTCAACCTTTCCTCCACTAAGGATCTGTACCAATGGCACCTTCTTGCCAGCGCGGATCAAACCTCCGGTAACCGTCTCCATGAAGCACTCCACCGTATTGATCTTGTACTCACCCTTCTCATCCCACGGCAACGGGAACATATAGTCGAGATGATCCTCGATCGAATGCATTTCGGAGAATGCCTTGATGAAATCCGTCTGCGCATCCATATGGTACAGGAACACAGCCGGGAACTCAAGCGTACTCTCGGGCGACAGCGGATCGGGCGAAAGTTTGATGCCCACGTCCTCCATCTCAGGAGGCTGATCCGTCTTGCGCGTACGGATCTGGCGCGCCTTCAGCGCAACGCTAAGCAGCGTCTTCTCCTTGCGTGTGCGCTCATCCTCGGCCTTCTTTCTAGCCGCGATACGCTCAATCACAGCCTTGCGCTCGCCGATCTTTCCAGCAACCATTTGAAGAGCCTTGTTGCCCGGATCCAGCTTCAATCCCCGGGTCGCCACATCCTCCGCCTCGATAATCTTGTCTAGCGAGAACAGCGCCATGGCGGACCGATAGTATGCTTTCACGTTCTTGGGGTTCAGCTTCAGCACGGCTGCGCAGTCGAGGGTCGTAGATCGGTAGTTTTCTATCCATGTTTAGCAACCTTTCCCTCACTTCAGGACAAGAAAACACAAACTCAATTCCAAATGGCACAGCGCGCGATTGATATAGCACGCCTCCTCGGCCTCCCTCCGCAACCGGGCCTCCTCCTTCTCATCCTCAGGCTTATCCCACTTATCCTCCTTGGCCAGCAAGACGGCAATACCCTTCGAGTAATGCTCCTTCGCATCAACCCAGCGCTTCTCCCGAGCAGCTTCGTTTCCTTGTTCACGGAAGTTCTGCGCGACATCGCCGCGGGTACCTTCGTTCTGGAGGGCGCGGATCGCATCAAGCATGGGGTTTTCGCCCTCTACCCACATACCCTGTTAGCCCATACATTCTACCTGGATATTTCCGGGACTAGACTAAAAGAGGAAAACTAACTCTCATCATACGCCTTGTTGATATCCGTCATGAACAACGGTGTGCGGTTCAGAATCTCCGCCAGCTCATCTGTCGTGTGGGTGCTCACAGCCTCCATGGCAGGCGGCATTTGAGGCGCCATGGGGTCCGCGCCCGCATTCAGGTCTTTGAGGCGCTCTTCCTTGATGGGAATGGGGAGCTCCTCCGGGGGAGGTGGGGTGAATTCATCTTTGGATTCGGTCGCGGGGGGTTGTGGCTGCTTGTTGACTTCGAGCGACTCATCGTAGTCGTCGGGGAGCTCTTCTATTTGGCCCATTTTGAATCAATGTGAGGTATGAACCTGAGAAGAGGGGGTGTTTGTTTGGCAGTGAGGGGGATTGGAGATGATCGTCATGGAAAAGAGGAATTTGCTGTTATCGGAGATGCAAATCATGCAAACTGGTGGGGAGGAGTTAACCCTTATCTTATCAGTAGATAAATCAGGTACATCATTGATGGATGTGGTCGTTCCCAATGGGGTAGAACTTGTAATTCGTGAGATAGCGATGAGTATTTTCTTTGTCTTCTTTGATGGTAGATTAACTGATGTGTGAGATTTGGACGGAGATTAGCGATGCACAATGCAGTGTACGGCAAATGCCGTCAATCCTAGATGATCCGGACACAGCCCTATAAAGAGGATTGTTCATTCAAACAGAGCTCTGCACAAGGGTAAGGATGGCTACTGGACCAAGACACAGTAGACCAAAAGTGATCATGTGCAGCACCTTTTTGCTTGATGCGAGACTTCCCTTTTAAATTAAGTATGGGTGGGGAGAACACCTGGTCTGGAAGGAGACTTGCGACTTGCGACGGGTTTAGGTACGGGAAGTAGAGAAGGTCAGATGAATGAAAGCCGTGAAATAATGGACGATTCCTCATTTTCATTCTCTTTCAGTTCATTGAGATTCACAACTTTATCCAATTCATTGTATATCACTTACGGAAGCCGCCGACATAATTATCCCCAATCACTGACAGCCCAATGAAGTCCCCATCGTTTCACAGGCGCAACTTTAAACCACATTGTTATTCGATCTCTACTATTAGTCTTATGGGAGTATCAGAGCCCAGTAGTCCGTATATAGTGTATAGCAATAAGTATAAAAGGTACCTTCGTGTCACCCCTAGGTATCTGCTTACTCCTTAGTAGTGAGCACATAATTTCCACTCAAACCCCTAATATCACATCTCTTTGTGTCTATTTCTGTTGCGATAGTACCTAGTATATCATTCACTTTATTAGGCTATCCAAAACCCCATCCGTTTCATACGATCCCAGTTCTGTATCTGCCCAGCCACATACACAACTGTGGCATTCACTCATGTCTCGCAACTTCCACCCCGTCAACACCAACTCCCCCTCCACCACTACTCTCACCGCAGACCCCGACACCATTCCCTCCCCTGAAGACAACAGAAATAATTATACCAGTACCCAGTCCTATTTCTGTCGCCAAGACGTGTCCACCAATCCCACCTTCAACAGCAACGATCAAGCCCTCCTGGATAACTGCTCCAACATTGACGTCTCACAGCTCGTCACTGAAGCAAACTGCTTCTGGGGCGGTCGTTCAGCGACGCTCCCCAAGAATGAGGGATATCCATCAGTTGAAGAATACCCATCCACATACCTGATGGGTAATCATGGCCATAGTTATGCTGATGAAAACATGCACGAGACATCCGCGTCATACGGTCCGTGCGACCATCTCCAGGTGGCCGGGGCTGGAATGGACATGGAAATGAGAATGACTGGAAACGAAATGGGGAAAGTGGATGAAACGTATGAGGCCAACCAAGCAGCCATGCTTGCTGCGCTGGGCATGACTCACCTCGACGAGGCAGTATCTCATGCAGCGGACGACGACGCAAAGACTTCGTCGTCTGTTACAGTTGACGATGATCCCGAGTGGAAGGAGTGGAAGAAGTGGAAGGAGGGGGAGGCGAACGGGGGAGTTAGATTACCTTCAGAAGAGAGGATGGACCAAGCAGATGTTGCTGCTTGGATGGATATGGGCTGTGGGGAGGGTAAGGAGAGAGAGGCAAACGAGGGAGTTATGTTACCCTCGAGAGAGAAGATGAACCAAGCAGGTGTTGCTGCTTGGTTGGGTATGGACTCTAATGAGGAACATGGTGTCTTCCAAACCCAAGAGGAAGATGATTATGACGAAGATGAGACCATATCTTACATATCCGACGATGACATGATGGAGATGGAAGAAGGGATGGAAGATGAAGAGGCTGTCGTCAACGTGGTCGAGGGCCCTTCAAGACAGGTCCTTATCAGTTCGCAGACAGGAGCTCATGCTGAGTATGATACAGCCAGCTTTGGGTGTGACTTCGAAGAGCAAGAAGAGCATGAAGACAGCGAGGAGCAAGAGAACGAAGAAAGATGGGGCGGAGACGGACAACCTCCTCCCTCCCTCTTTCCTCGCTTCTACTCGGACAACGCTGAAACGGGGCTTATCATCGAACTGTCCTCAGCAGATAGTGACGCCGAAGAGACCATGTCAGATCCCCCTTCCGAAAATGATGCCGAAGAGAACATGTCAGACCCGTCTCCCTCCTCCTCCTCATCCTCCTCACCATCAGAAACCCCCCTCCAACCCAACCCTCAAGACGCATACGCCCTCCCCTGGACCACCTCACCATCCAACACCAGCACTACCACCAGCACCACCGGCACCCCCACAGACACATCACCAGCCCCAATACCCTTCCAACCAGATCCTCACCTTCACCCTCACCCAACCACCCAGCACCACCTTCCACCACCATCATCATCATCACAAGCCACACCCCCCTTCACCCTCCTCACGGACCTCCACACGCACCTCACACACACCCCCCAACACCGCGCCTCGCACCTGCGCAACCTAGCCACCGAAATCTCCAACACGATGTACTTCGTCAACAGCCACACAATCTCCGGGGACTTCAGCGCGGAGGACGCAGCCCCCGTAGACCGGGTGATGCGAATCGTGCGCGAAGGGGAGTTGAAGTTGCGGTACCAGGAGCGGTATGAGCGGCAGAAGGGGAAACTGGTGAAGCGGGAGAGGAGGGTGGCGGAGCGGGAGGACCGGGTGAGTAAGAGGGAGGAGATGGTGAGTCGGAGGGAGATGGGGGTTGCGGGGTGGTGGGAGGTGTGGAGGGAGAGGGGAAGGGAGGTGTGGGAGGGGGTGGAAGGGGAGATGATGGGTACTATGGAGGGGAATGGGTATAGGAGGAATGGGATGGATACGTTGCAGAGGACGGTTAGGGTTACGAGGGAGGTGGTGAGGAGGATGGATCGGATCGTTGATGAGAGTGAGGTTAATGGTGATGGTGATGGTAATGTTGAAGGGGGTGTTGAGGTTAGAAGTGCACGAAAGGGAGGTGTTGATCGGATTGAGTAAATTGATCAAGTTGGTTGATTTCAATGGCTATAGTATGAGTGAACTTATGTTGGGATATTGGTGTTTTGGCTCAATCTATCTATATACGCTCCATCAATCTAGATAAGATTGATTAAAATGGCGATGACGAAATTGTTGGAAGTACATTCTACAGACTAGAGATAGTGCCGCGGCGACTTCACCAGGACAACTCATTGCATTAATCACTTATTCCTCAGCTAAATATGCATCGATGTAGCACAAAGTACACTAATAGCTGTAGTGTAACCCCCACAAAGGTCATCGGCCAGCTGAGTCGCAATCAACCCACCGAGATAACACAACCACCGAAATCCGAGACTAAACACGGCCAGAGAAGAGATAAAAGGGCCAGATACCCAACTGTGCAAGCGCCAGGGGCAAAGTCCGATAACCGGTGTTAGTAGAAACTTCGAGGAGAACGTTGCCGTCCCCACCCAATCCCACTTTTTTTTTTCCCACGTTGTAACTTTTTTTTTCCCACCCGAGGTGACATCAGCTCAACGGTCAACTTGATCCTGATTTTTGTTCAGGAAAAGCTTCGCATATTACTCCGGGAAGCCCTTTCAACAAGGCCAAAAAAGAATAAGAGGAAGCACAAGGGGGAAAACAAGCCTCTGATTGAACTTTACCGATTCTTGATGATTGACGCGGCATACACTTCGACGGCCCGTCTCGAATAGCTTCCGACAGGCTTTCCCGACGATCATCATTATGACAGACTCCGCCGAGATGGCCTCCTCAGACAGTACAATCGAAGGCACGCTTTCGCGATCAGAATCCATCCGCTCAGCCGTCCAGACCTTCTCGCCTCTTCATGAGCTCGTCTTCGTCTTCGTGGTGTGCATGTCGCAATTCATGACGCAGGCCGCGCTCGGAAATACGCTTGCCCCACTTGAGATCATCAGTGACAGCTTCGGCATCACCAACCCTGGCATCTCCAGCTGGCTGATCGCAGGGTACTCCCTAACTGTCGGTACATTTATTCTTTTCTTTGGCCGCTGTGGCGATATTTTTGGATACCGTATCTTGTATATCATCGGGTGGATATGGTTCGCGATCTGGTCCCTGGTGGCGGGGGTAAGCGTATATTCGAACTACATCCTATTCGTTTTCGCGCGCACCTTGCAAGGCATCGGGCCTGCGATGCTTCTTCCTAATGGCCTGGCGCTGCTGGGTGCGACGTACCGACCGGGAAAGAAGAAGTATATGGTCTTCTCACTTTTCGGGGCTACCGCGCCAAACGGCGCCGTTTTGGGAGCCATCTTTGCGTCACTATTCTCCCAGCTCGCTTGGTGGCCGTGGACTTTCTGGGCCATGGCGATCTATTGTTTTGTATTGGCGATTATGTCGTTTCTTGCGATTCCTCCTTCCCCGTCGATTGCGCAGGGCATGTCGCTTGGGCAGCTGGTGTCTGAATTAGATGTGGTCGGGGCATTCTTTGGAGTTGCAGGCCTGGTTCTTATAAATATCGCCTGGAACCAGGCGCCCGTGGTGGGATGGCAAGAGGCGTATGTGTACGTCCTGCTGATCATTGGGGCTCTGATTCTGGCCACGTTCTTCGTCTGGGAGATCAAGTACGCGTCCAAGCCACTCATCCCGTTCCATGCGCTGGATCTCGATGTCTGCTTTATTCTGGGCTGCATTGCATGTGGCTGGGCCAGTTTCGGAATCTGGGTTTACTACTTCTGGCGGTTTTTGGAGAATATCCGAGGCATATCGCCGTTGCTGGCATCGGCGCAGTTTATCCCGCCAGCCTTGTCTGGACTGACAGCCTCCTTCACGACGGGGCTTCTCATGGCAAGATTGCGGCCCGGCTGGATCATGCTGATGGCCATGGTGGCTTTCACTCTGGGTAATATCTTTTCGGCTATCGCTCCGGTTCACCAGACGTATTGGGCGTTGGCCTTTGTGACGCTGTTGGTCACTCCGTGGGGAATGGACATGTCGTTCCCTGCGGCTACAGTCGTCTTATCGAATGCGGTTGGGCGTCGCCATCAGGGCGTTGCGGCGTCGTTGGTCACGACGGTTGTCAATTATAGTATCTCTCTGGGACTTGGCTTTGCGGGCACGGTCGAGGTGCATGTGAACAACGGTGGCCAGACCTTCCATGACACGCTCATAGGATATCGAGGAGCATTGTATATGGGCATCGGACTGGGTGGGCTTGGAGTTGCCATCAGTCTGCTCTATCTTATTAAGAGCAGACCGAGACCGGGCCAAGAAGAGAACCAGCTGGAAAAGGCAGCCGGATAATCGTTATTCAATAATTCGGGGGTAAATATAGAGATAGAGCATATATAATCCGGCGTGCTCAATAGACATAGCCACAGAGCTCGCCTGCATAGTGGCAAACCAAAAATACTATTCAATTAATAGCTTGGATTTGACACCCAATTTATTGCATATGAGTCACCATATTGCAACAGGACAATTAAAGGGGATAGCAATCATTTCGGGTGATCTAAAGGCGCTCAGCCCTCATTCTTGCGTGCCCATGATCGCCCAAGTACAACATTTGTGGCTTCAAAATGGTGTCTTCACTGCGCTGTCATTCGAATCACGTTAAGATCAGAATACACGCCCTCTTTTTAATGACACTGGACAATTCAAATAAATCTGGCAGATGCAGAACCAATCAGATTGGCTGCTCCGCATTGCTCGTGATCAGTCGCCTAGAATTCCGTACGTCCGTCCTAGGCGGGAGCAAAAACCGGGAATTCAAATTCCGAGGGTAACGGCAATCGATTCAACTGAAGGAGCCAAGATGGCAAAGAACACACATCAATGACCTCATTTCCTCCATCCAAGTGCTGAGAAAACCACATGGTCGCAACCCTCCTCTAGATAGCAATGAGAATACCAGTAAATTGCCTCCCTTCATATGAAGATGGGTCGATAAAATGCTGAACCGTAGTGAGTGTCCAATCAGCGAATCCGATAAGCAATAATCCGACAGGGAGCGATCGTTCCAGCGAGTTCCCAAAGACGGGTCCAGTTCGCCGCCCTGGCGATGAACCTCGGCACTGGCACTGGCCCTCCATGAATTCGGGCCGCGGATCCACTGGTCGCCATCCCTTCATGTGTCTCGCCAACAAAAAGAACGTTCCTTATTTCGTTCTCTTTTCCCTATCGTTGGTGATCATTCTTCTCTCTCCTAATCCCTAGTCACCGTGTTCCTGTGCTGCATCCTGTGAGGGACTTTCAGCATCGCTTGAACAAATTTCACATCCCCTGTCTCCGACCCACCGCACTACCCCGGACGACCGATCTATCGGCCGAGATGAGCAGCCCGGGCGATTACAGCGCCGTCCGCAAGGACATTGTCGCACAACTGAAGAAGCCTGATTATGATGATGGAAGCGCTGGTCCAGTCTTTGTCCGGTTGGCATGGTGAGTTATTCCCCGGATGAAAAGTTTCCTGCATGTCAGTCGCCACTAACCCCTGAGCAGGCACTCCGCGGGTACCTACGACGCCGAAACCGATACGGGCGGCAGCAACGGTGCGGGCATGCGATATGAAGCAGAGGGGGGCGATCCATCAAACGCAGGCCTTCAGTACGGTCGAGCATTCTTAGAACCTGTAAAGGAGAAGCACCCGTGGATTACATACTCCGATCTGTGGACGTTAGCAGGCGTGGTGGCGATCAAGGAGATGGGCGGGCCGGAAGTTGAGTGGAAGCCAGGTCGGACGGACCTGGTCGATGACTCCAAGGTACCGCCTCGTGGTCGTCTACCTGATGGTGCCCAGGGTGCAGACCACCTCCGCTTTATCTTCAACCGCATGGGCTTCAACGACCAAGAGATCGTGGCGTTGGCGGGAGGACACAACCTGGGCCGGTGCCATACCGATCGCAGTGGGTTCGAAGGTCCCTGGGTGAACAACCCAACACGGTTTTCCAATCAGTTCTTCAAGCTACTGTTGAAGTTAGAGTGGACACCTCGGAAGTTAGCGAACGGCATGAGGCAGTTCGTGTATGAGGATCCGGATGCGGAGGAGGGAGACGAGTTGTTGATGATGCTGCCCACCGATATAGCACTCAAGACGGACCCATCCTTCCGACAGTGGGTGGAGAAGTATGCAGAGGACAAGGACCTGTTCTTTGACCACTTTGCGAAGGTATTCGCAAAATTGGTCGAGCTGGGTATCCGGCGAGACGAGAAGGGTGTTGTTCTCAACACCGACAATGTCAAGGGAGGTTATATCTCTGCTCCCAAGAAGAGCAACACGCCGACAGGACCACCGAGGAAGCCGAAGGCCGAAGCTGTGCGGGCCAGGCTGTAAATACGCGTTGGATATATGGGAGGGTCATGATTCGATATACCATAGAAGGATGTTAGAGGACTGGATAGAAACAGAAGCATGTACATTTGATTAGAGTAATATAAATCTCATGTTTATTCATAATGAGAAACGAAGAAGTCCATCATTTCAAGTAGTTAAGAGAAAGAAGAAAGCAAGGAGAGAAAAGGAAGCGAGGGAGAGAGGAAGAGAGAGAGAGAAAGAAAAAGGCCGGGGATTCAATGAATGCGGGGAAAGGTCCATGCGCTGACTTTGGCCCGGCCGTCATTGGCTCCCACCGGCATTGTTGGCAACTCGTTCATCTGAAGCCAGTCCAGTAGCCGTGCTAGATGACTTGATTCGATCCTTGCTACTTAGTCGGGAGGCTAAGTCGAGGTAATCCTTAGAAGATGCTCGGTTATTGGGAGAAAGGGCAATTGTGTTGGTGTAACCGCGTTTTCTTTCCCCTTTTCATTTTACCCCGGATTTCCGGACCGCGATCCGTTTCTCTGAATAAACAGTATGAACTATTACCAATTTACCACTGAAGATGGCATGCTACCCATGGAACTACACCGGACAGTATGTCTTTATCATTGGATTAAATACACTATGAAGTGTTCCTTGCATTCTAAGATTAGTTGTTTTGTCTATGCCAATTTCTATCTATCATCTTTGAAACCTGAGCCTAAGCTATGGAGGGAGTCTGGAATCAATACAGACAGACTCATCATAGTACTTTCGGGGGCATTATCCATCGCTCTTCATTTTTACTCTGCTAGCATGTCTCCGTGGTCGGGGTGCGTCTGGTGGGGTGGCTTAGGGAAACCTCAGTAGCGAGGCCCATGGTGGCCGGGTCTATTCACCCAATAATCCGGATGGTATGGTGGTAGCTGTGCTTGCTGTGGCGGCGAGGAGGATTGTCCCATTCCACCATAGGTGTTACTATCGGGGTTTGTCAGCTGCATCGGGCTCGAGGCAACATAAGGGCCTGGATTGGTCTGAATCTCCGGACTGTAATCGACTCTTTGTCGAGAAGAGGCTACAGGAGAGGAAGATATTGCCGGAGCTCCATAGATTCTTGCAATATGGGGATCGTCGTATCGCTGAACAGGACTGGTGGAAGGGATATTTACGGGCGTAGACAAGTTGGAGCCAATATACTGGGGCCTGCGCATTGGAGGCGGTGGCATTCCACCATAAGAGGAAGCTGACATGTGCGCAGAGGATGGCATATCTGCTGACATATGCGGTGTCGGGGACATGGCCATGATCGACTGCTGGTAGGAAGGAGGCGGACTGTAAGGACGTGCTTGCGCTCTTCTTGGCCTGCTAGAAACAGCCTGCTCTTGGCGTTGCGCCTGAGACCGCGCCTGAGCATGAGCCTGAGCCTGAGCCTGCGCCTGCGCCTGGGGCTGCGTCCGGGGCTTTCCTCGGGCTAGGATATTCTGAAGATTCGGATCGACATTCCTGAATCGTCTCATGCATTCAGGCAGGACAGGTACCCAACTATACGGGTTCTGCTCCGGAGGTGGTCGTTCGGGCGGGGCCCAACCAGGACTTTGCTGGAGGAGAAGCTTACCCTGGGAGACAGAGTCAAGCATGTCGGTAGCCGCACTCACAGCTACTTGAAGCTCGCCAATACTCGGGTTCATAACCCGCTCGTAGAAAAGCAAGGGAATCTGCTTATTCCTCCAAAATTTCTCGGACATTTTGTCCCTGATGTTGTTTTGATGTATACCCCCAATTATGGCTCCGTTGTGGACAGAGCTACTATATGAACGCAGGCTTGTGCCGCGCACCCCACGTTCGGCATCAGTCCACCAGAGGAGCAAGTGGCCTTCTTCTTGGTATATTCCTCCTATCCAGCGATATGTGACGCTTTGCATATGACCATGCTCATTCTGATATGCAAGGGTCATATCTTCTGTATGTGACCGTACGGACACATTAGGACCGAGTTCTACCACCAGGCGCATGGCAACCTTGTGGAACCGTTTTTCATAACTAACAGAAAGTTTCTTGCATTTGGTGCAGATTGCCCGGCGCTGATGATCAAATGCTCGGGACAACACATCCTTCATATCCACGCCGTGCCAATCAGTCGCGACCACAGGCGGTGTCAGAGTGGTCGAGTTGATTTTAACCACAGTGGTTCTACTATCTTCAGAAGATACACACTCACACTGCTTGGTGGTCTCTTCGTAAGAGAATGCGAACTGGTCAAAGTGGAGCGTTGACTTGTTCCAGACGGTTCGCATCATATTAGTCGCCCCCACGCCCAGATGAACATCTGCTGGGAGCATCCGAGAAAAGCGTTCGACTAGCTCAAGACTCAGTCCTTCATCGAAGAAATCACATGGAGCATCGGTAGCTTCAATGAAGGCTCGCTCAGTAGCTGTGAGGCGATTCTGCCAATTCTGCTGCTTGCGGTCGATGTTGGTGGACCCGGCATCTAGCAGTCGGCCTGCGATGATAGCACAGCCAATCGCACTTCCTCTGGGGGTCATGCTAATAGGACCTCGGCCTCTGTAAGGAAAGGTACGTCGGGGGACTTCCGGGTCGTCTTGGAAGTGCAGCTCTACCTCAGCTGTCACTGGGTGTAAGCTGTACTGGACTTTTCTCAAGTTAGTATCTGGGGTGGCGGTCAGCCATGGTCGTGGTATGTCCAACGGGACGGCAGTCTGATGGCGTCCAAGCTCGTGATAAGCGAAAGTCATGACGGCACGCTGCACTGCCTCGATAATTGACTGGGCATTCTGGATGGGAAGTGATGCTGCTTTCCCGAACTTCTGGGATATAGGAATTGCGGTGCTAGGGCCACTGACATCTTCGGTGTTTTGTTCACTTGGTCTCCAGCTCCTTGAAGGGCTTCCTCTATGCCGCGTAACAGGGCTTTTGGCTTCTGTCGTTTGAGTCGGGGTATTGCCACCCGAGGAACTTTCTTCCATAGGATCCCCGTCATCACGGTCAGAGGTTTCCTCCTCATCGATGTCGGTCATCTCCTCTTCGACTCCCTGATCCCCGGGACTGGTTGAAGAGGCTCCTTCTGTCCGTTCCAAATCTTCCGAGCAGTCAGTAATACCTTCAATGTGTTTCTTTTGTTTCCCTT